TCCCCTCCTTCCTTTTCCCTCACAGAAACGCACATTTACGGAGCTCTTTCGAGTCGTGTCGCCACACGATTAACTTTATTTTGTCTTTCCGGAAGCGCCGTGCTGTGCGTATTACAAATGTTTCCTCTCTGTCGTGTTTTTTGTTCGTCTTTTTTAGCGTGAATTATGGGTGATTTTGAGGCCATATCTGTATAATGAATGCTCTCGTATTACAAGTTGTAAGAGCACTTCGTTCAGATGAAAACATCTCTAGCGCATCGATTTCCGATTGCTTCGGTATTTGGTGCTCGATGTTGAATTAGTTTATGTTTTTCTTCTTTTTTTTTTTTTTTTTTTGTATGTTCTTCCCCCTTGGGTTTCGTTTGCTCGCGAAGCGAAATGAACGGCAGGTATAGTTTGATTGGCGAGTAGATTCTAATTGGCGGAAATGGCGAAATATATTTCATGGATCCAAAAGGCAGAATCAAAGGACTCGGTGAGTTCGATACCCTACAAACGGCGGAATCTGTGTGTGCGTCGGGACACTTCCCATTCGTTATTTGTTTATTTAATGTTACTACCTGGGCGAATCAGGGTTGTGGTAGGAGAGGCACAACATGTCGTCAATTAAATATTGCAACAAAGATTGCGAGATAATGCGAGGCTTTAACGAATATTAACAGACAATGAACAATGCAATGAGAACTCTCGTTTACAGTTTTAACAGAATGAGCTTTGTCTCGTTAAAAAAAAAAAAAATTCTATCAATGAGGTAGTCAACAGAGTCTAAATTTTTTTACTTGCTGTTAGTTGCGTGACTACCGCCGGTTGCCATTCCACCGGTTGCCATTTCACGTAAGATCACGGAAACTTTAAAGGGAGCGATGCAACGATATTCAGTTAGAATTTTTTCCACTTTACACGAGCTTACCGGCACTGGTGGGACCCAAGGATACTCGCACGCAACGCCTTTGGCGAAGAAACTCCTTTGTTGTGGTGTAATTACAAGGAAAAAAACCGATCATTTTTATTCAATCTCCCCTTTGCAGAATGTGATGACGTAACGTGGGGATCGTAGTACACCCTAATGACGATATTTGAATGCGATTCATAGATTGGACCCGAGCATTGCGTGGTCACTCGATTTGGGTTCGTGATAATTATTAGCTCGTAAAGCATTCGGGTAGACCCGTGTCCAATTGCTGCAACGACGACAATAGCCGAACCATAACAGTAGGGAGTTTTAGTAGATCGTTGCGATACCTCCGATAGCCCCGATAACGATACTATGCATGCAGAAGGGAGGCGGCGGCGAAGTATCGGGATATCGTTATCGGAGTCATGGGAACGATCTACTAAAACTCTCTACTGTCTGGAAGTCAGCGCGTGTCCTCTGCTTTGCCAACCCCAGCGCGTGGCTATGATCAACATTGGCGGCATATAGTCGGCTCCAGATCACGTGGCCGCTTACTCTGGCTGCGAGTTGAGGGGGTGGACGCTGCTCGTTTTTGTCTAATGTTTTTCTGGGACTTTTATTGCGTAGGGTGAAAAACGAACGCGAGTTTCATAGGTCATTAGTGTCAGGGATCCGTTCTAAGCGGTATTTGCGCAAAGTGCAATAATTGTCGCATCGCCCATTTAAAGGAGCTGTGCAACAATTTCAGTGCCTTGCTTAAATAATTTGGGAGTTGGTGTCTCGACCTTTCTGAAGTAAAGAACAAAAAACCGCTTTTGCCTGCATGTCCCAGTTTTTATTTTTAAAAAATTGACACAAATTGAGGTTTTCGGCACCTCTCGACTCCTTCACTACCCTCCGAGCCACGTGCGCGTGACGTCAATGGGGGTCGCGCGGGGCTCCGGTGAAAGAGTTCCTGCATAGGCTACGGGAGCCAGAGTTGCGCATTTGTTTTCCCCGCGCCGCCACGCCGTTATTCGCCGAGATCCATCACGTGAGGAGCAAAGCATCCGGTGGCGTGCAAGAAAGCCACCTTTACGGTCGCTCCGCCGACGTTTCTCGCGCCCCGGCGTATGTTCCCCTGCTTTCCGCCTCCTTTTCCTCCTCTCCTGTTTTCCTCGCGCGGCGGCGCGCGCGGCGCCGCTATTTGCTAAATTTAGTCACGTGAGGAGCAAAGCATCCAGGGCGTGCGGGGAAGCCGGCGCTACGGCCACTCGCCGAGGATGAATGCGCAACTCTGCGCTACCGTAGGTAGCTATACAGGAACTCTAGTGAAGCTCTCTTTCTACAGCCACCAGTGAGCAGCGACAACTTATACGCTCGCGACCGCGTGACCACGTGCTGGCGCAGCGCGAACAATGCGGTGAATGAAGGAAAGTCTCGTTCGGGTCCGGCCATCCCCGTCCGGCTCTGCCCCCTTCTCCCTCCGGCTTCTGGCTGCTGCTTGCGGTAGCAGATAGAGCTGACGGTTTTCTTGACCTCTGATAGATGGCGCCACTAAATCTCCGTATAATAAAAGTTTTGTCGATGATACCAGGTTTTGACGCATTTATATTTGTGTTGGAACGACAAGATTTATGGAAAAATTACCTTTTATCGAGCAGGTATTCACACAACTTGTTACCTTTCTACAAGTCCCCCATTGATGTCATGCCGCGTGGTTCTCATGGCCGCCGCTCGCGGCCGCAGGTCGGGGAATATTCTAATTTCTACCTCGCCATTACACGGCGGAATCGCAACATTTCGAAGAAAGGAGGTCTGTTTTCTGTCCTTTGTGACAAGATGAACATTGTCAAAAGTAGAAGATTCAAATTCTTTCAACGCTAAAATCGTTGCACAGCTCCTTTAACCTTGAGAATGGGGCAGAAAGAGGAAAAAATGTTTGCCAGTGGTACAAAAAGAACAGGGATACACAACGTCTATAACCCAGTTGATGATTTTATTTAATCCTCCTTATTGACAAAGCTCCACACGGCAGAACATCATCTTTTTCAACGATGTGCACAAAAATCAGCCACATCACTCCCCCCCCCCCCCAAAAAAAAAAAAAAAAGAAAAACTTTCAGACCACAAACAACTTTAGAATAAAAAAATAAAAAAAAAGCTTCTGGACTGTTTTGCTTCTATCTGAAAAAGTAACAAACCCTAAAAAAAGTCTTTTAAACGTGACGCACAAACAAAACTCTAAGGTTGATCGCCCAGCCCTTCGCACCCTGACATTGTAGGACACGTGGGACGTTGTTGACACCGCGACCTGCGACGACACCGTGAACGTGAGTCCGCCTCCAACAATACATAGTTCTTTGTATATCCCTTTTTTTCACCAAGAAGCTGTCCCCAAAGAACTGCCTAACGGCTGTTTACGCTCCAACGTTATGTCAGCGAGCGCCTCCGCTACCTTGACATCCACGTGAGAAACAAAGTGGACGTTGTTTAACGTCGTTTCAACTTTCCTGCTCTCGAGAGAGGTAAAGGCCTCGTCAAGCTGCAATGGCAGCTTTTTTCTCTCCCTCCCCTCTTCCCCTTGTTTTAAGATAAATAAGAAAAAACAACAACCATCAAGTGCGCGGCTCTGCTTGTTGTGACGCTCTTTCGCAAGACTCGGTTGTCGTCTACAAGATTGTCAACACACGCGGGGCAATGCTAAGCCCATTTCCAGCCTTCATCTGCACGACTTCGTCGTAATTGCCCCGCGCCTGACGACAAGTCGGCGATGTCAGATGAACGTTCTCTCGTCCAAACGGCGGATTTGCATTTCTGAGTGAAATGTGATCCGGGTGCACAAGCAACACGATAAGTCATTTTCTATGAACCGACTTTCTCTCGCGACAAAGTCATTAAATAAAGCTGAAGAATATTCAAACTTCGTCGCATCCGTTTCGAATATTTCGCTATTCCGTATTGGCTTTTTGTCCGCCCTTGAAATCGAGAAGTATGACGAGTGTTGTAAAGTCATGACAACACGTCGTTTTAGTAAGTGAATTGGATGATATGTAGTAGGACGTTGTAAATATTCTGAACGTTCCATCTGAAGCAGCTTTCCTAGGCCAGTGAACGCTGCGGCGCAGTGTTGGGATAGACTCTAGGTGAGATCGGGTCGGGTCGGGTCGGGTCGGGTCGGGTCGGGTCGGGGTTGGTAAGGTGCAGTCGTCTAACGCTGAGAGGTTTTGTTCGCGCGACGCTGACTTGTGTTCTAGTTTCATAATTGCGATCAATCGTAACGCGGGCTCGGCGTGGTGCTGGTCCAAATACAGGAAGGGACAGAGTGGGCAATCGCTTATGCAAGCAGGGTACTGTCCAGGGCAGAGGGCAATTACTCTGCCAAGAAGAATGAATGCGTCGCTGTCGTCTGGACCATCACCAAGTTTCGCCCGTACTTGTACGGAAGACCGATCCGAGTGGTTACGGAGCATGCATCACTCGTTCTGCTGGCTCGCGAATCTGAAGGACCCCTCAGGATTCCTGGCCCGGTGGAGTCTACGGCTGCAGGAGTTTGACATGACCGTGGTGTACAATTCCGGCCGAAAGCACAGTGACGCCGTTTGTCTGTCCAGCAGTTTTTGTCTTCAGTGCAGGCACGACCGGCCCCCGTCGAGGCAACACCTCCTAGACTATTTCAAGGCCTCCGCAGGCTCCCGTGACGTCATCGAAGTGAGATCGGCCTGGAAGCTGGCTTCACCCACTCGGTCGGGCTTCGTAATGCGAGTCTCTTCGTTCTCGGCGCTGAATTTTCGAGAATGGAACACTGACAATACGTTTTACTTCAGAAAAGCTCGTAGGAATTAATACTTTGGTTCGAGCTAGTTGGTTCATGATTATTTAAAAGGTTAAAAGCGCAAAACAAGGACGTAGAAGAAACGCACACGAAACAGAGTGGCGCTCGATGGACGTTTCAAGTCGTGTTTTGTATTTATTCTTCGAATTCTCACTTCCATGTCGCCTATATCTACGAACATTTAAGGAGTCCAGGACTCGCGCACGATTTGCGAACATATTAAATAACACAATTAAAAGCAAGAGTCCTGGCGCCCCGATTTTCACAGCCATTATTAAAACATCACAACTGTTTTTCGGGGGTACAGAATTTCACTCTTTATTTTGCAGGAATAAGCAGGAAGAACTTGGGTTTGTGGAAAAAATACAATTTCTCGGGAATAGCTTCCACAAATGAACTGATAGCACATTCATAACCGAAGTTTCAAACAAAAATATTATTACATCAACATTTCCAACAGAACAAAGCAATAAGGAAATCCTCGAAGTTCTAAACAACATACAGCAATGTCCCCAAAAACATTGTTTGCACAAATTGAAGAACAAGAAACAGAAATAAGTCGGAGCACACACACACGAAAAAAACACTTATGTGACAATAATTTCCAGGCAGCAGTCGAAATGATAGCAGACGTTATGCGCTTATGCCTGAAGCGTCTTCAGTTTCCGTTTTGCAGCTTTGGCTTCAGCAAGCATGTTGTTTTCTCGTTTGCACAAGTTATTCAACAAAGTGTTGGCAGCCGCACTTAGTACATAACCCATCACCACGTGAGGTAAATGGCCGTTTTCACAGACGTCCAGATCTTCGTTATACTCAACAAGGGGTGTTGTCAGGGACACAAGCAAATCTTTTTGCTTTTCACAAGAATAAAATTTTAACGCGTACCTTTCGCTGCTCAGTTTTTCCAGCACAATATTCATTGCCAGCACGGCATTTACCACCACGGCCTGCGGGAACTTTAGTTCACCTCTTGTTACACCAGCAATGAGCTCTTCTGCCTCAATTTCAAGAGAACGGTTGTCAACCACAAGGTTCTCTTTACAGAATGGGCACATCAGCTTTTTCAGCGCAGCATGCGCACAGTACCCAGGCACGTATGTAATAGCTGGGAGCATGTGTTCTTTTTTTTTCTACGTCAACTGCTGTCACTTCAACATCAAACTGGTTCACGGCAGCATTCACCGCATCAGTGCGGGCACATAGCGAGATGTCGTCGAACTCGGGAAGCTCAAGAACCTTCTGCAATCTGAGTTTGTGTTCCGACTCGTATATCTGGCGGATCGAGATGTGGTACTGTGCGCCGCTCAATTGTCGGTACCGTCCAAACCTATCTTCAAGGCAGTCAGACTGAAATTTACCAAGAAGGACATACTTGAAGCCGAGTTCTTCAATGCAGTAACGCGACACCTGAACTAAAGCAAGCGATGTGTGACGAAGTGCATTGTGTGTCTCATTCGTGAGGTGGCCTGCATCATGCTTCAGGCTTTTCCAGTAGTCTAGCCACTTGACTACTTTGTTCAGGAAATCAATTTGGGGGCAAGACATTACCGTTATGGGTTCCTGAAGCTTGTCCCGAAGACGCCGACCCTTGTTTGGCGTTTTCACATTTACTATGCACCACCACATAACGATAATGTTAATAAATTCAGCTGTGCCTTTGGCATGCTGCAGTGTTGCAGCCTTGGTGCTTCTAAGTGCTGCAACAGTAAGAATGTTAAAGATCTTCAGGACAAGCTTGACATTCTGTCGCTCCAAACTCGAAGGTTTGAGTGCTTTCAAGCATAAAGTTGGCGCAAGTCGCACTAGCTCATTTCTCTCTCTCTCATGAAGCTCTACCAAGGCATTAAACGAAGCTGTCAGCACATGTGGTTGATCACCAGCAGCATTAATATCGGGAAAAAACATGCACTTGCTGCTGTTTCGCTGGTTGAGCCAGTTATTCCGTACACACTTGAGCACGTGAACAGTATCCAAAATAAAAAACAGGGACCTTGATTGGTCCGAAGGATGTTGGTACACAGTGTTAACCTTCGGAGGTTGGGAAAAAAATGACATAGCTTTGCCATTGATGGAGTTATTGTCTGAAACTACTGCAATAATTCGAAGTCCAGTTTTCTCGAGCTCATTTATCAGCTGACGAAGAAATTCATGCAACTGTTTTGCATCTATCTGTGCTACTGGCAGAATATGCACAACATCTTTGCTCGCTGACAAAAGGCTTTGGATCATGAACACATATGCTGTCTTTGCAGCAATTGTACTGTTTGCGGCCATTCCCACTACGGTTCCACCCTTATAGTCGAGGTATGGCTGAAGGTGAATCTCGTCCATGACGAGCGTTACAGTCTTCTCATGCTCGTTCATTGCAGCTACAAGTCTTTTTGCATATGAGAGAAATAAGGTACTTTGTTGCTCTGTACAAGGGTTGACAACGTAAGACGCACAAACACGCCTAATAGTGTCAGGATGGGGCAGTTTGAGCTTTGACGTGCTCCGGATGAACCTATAAGCGTGTGGGGATATTCTAAACACGAGGCTTGAAAACACAAGCAGGTCTGCAGGGTAATTCGGAGACTTGCTTAGAAGCATGTGTACCTGCTGCATTAAGAAGTTCACAATTTCCATTTGCCACTCATGAGGGAAATTTTCTGATGACAGCTCCTCTAGGATTGCCACTGTCTTCTTTAAGACAATTTCTAGTCGCTGCTGATCGTTAGAGGAGTTCTTGGCAAAACCATGCACAACCTCTAAAGCTTTCTCTAGCTCCCTAATGTCGGACACACACATTGGAAAAATGAGAAGACCAACCTTGTCGAGCTGCAGGTCCCCAAAAAACGCTTTCAATGAAAGATCTGCAGAGACCGTCACTGAATAGCGCACAACTGGTGCATCTCGAGGAGCAAAGTTCAAAAAAAGCACTTGCTTGTCAGTGACCAGCTTTGTCCAGAAATCGGCCACCTGGAATTCCTTGAGAGCAGCCACGAGTTCGTCAAAGCTGCTAACGGAATTATTTCTCTGTTCGTCTTCATAAGCTTCGGTGGAGCGCGCCAGTGCTTGCTGCAGGGCCTCCGCTTCAAGCCGAGCGCGCTTTTCTTCAGGACCTTCGCGGGCAGCAGGTGTGTTGCGGGACAGGTATGCAGGGCAGTTGGGGAAGATGCTAGGAGTAGCGCATGGCTTCAGCCGCCGTAATTGAAGAGGAACTTCAAGCACTCGTCCAGTTTTTTCGTCCGTGTACGTTGTAGTAGTGGCGAAGTCACCCGGAGAAACGTGCTTTTCACAGACCTGTAGGAAGTGCAAAAATCTCAATATAGGACAGGCGATTCGCGCACAATACCAAGACAATAAAATGGGAAGCGGTAAGTTACACGTCGCAATAATTCTAATGCGCACTTGTATAGACACAAAACTACTTTCTGTAAGTCCTCGTAATCCGTTCGGAACTATACGCGAGAGCTTGAAAACTATTCCCCGCGTCAAGGAAGAAAACGAAGACATCCTAGCTGGTAAGGTCAAGAATCATTGCAATACCCCGAACAGCAAGGGAACACGCAACAACCACGAAAATTAAACAGCGGAAGAGGAATTACTCACCACGCTGTACTTCGTTGGCGCGAAGTCTTCGCGAGGTATTGCTTTTGTCCAAGCCGTTCTTCGTTCCGCATCAGAAGGAAAGCGGTAAACCCGCACTTTCGGCCCACTCACATAGTTTGAGTTACAGTTCGGCGCACAACAGCAGCCAGGCATGTCGCGTAACCCGAGAACAAACAAGAACAAAACAGAAAGCAGCACATCAACGCCAGCGGCCAGAAACAAATGCGCCGTTACTACTGTTTATGGTTGCCAGATGTGGCAGTACGCGCCACCAAAATTCGTGCCTTCCACGATACTGCGCTCCACACGTCAACGGAATTAAGTTTCTTACGTAGCAAAAATGTAGGCATGTAAAATATTTCGTACTTAAAAGCGTCGAAAAGAATTTTTTGTTGTTACTAGTTCAATTATTCACGTTTTATAAGAATAGCTTTTTGAAACGTTTTCTAACTATTTGCGCCGGGCCACACATTATACAAAAGCCGTAAGTCGTTCCAAGCCAAGCCCGTTGTTCTCGGATTTGGACCGATCTCACAGTGATGACGTCGTGTTGTGGAAAGGGAACGTTGCGGGGGCCTTGAAATAGTCTAGGAGGTGTTGGTCGAGGCCGGTCGTGCCTGCACTGAAGACAATGACGACTAGTATTTCCTCGGTGCACTAGATGTAAGTGATATGGCAGCATTCCGAAGAGATGATTCTTAACTGTAAGGACTCATCGAGCACCTAGAGGGACAAGGAAGTGCGGTTCTCCGCGTTTTCGTGCGAACACTACCAACCTTCTGTATTCGACATCCTCTGCTACAAGGAGAACTTCAGCGACAAAAACGCGTTGCGGCTGTTGGTGATCCTTTTCCAGTCTTTGGTGAAGAGGTATTTCAAGCTTGTATGATGACCCGACAGCGGGACACCTTGGCTATGGCAGTACTCTTGCCAGGATACGTGAGAAGTACGAGTGGCCCAAGCTTGCGAAGACAGTTCATCACTACACCCAATCTTGCCACGAGTGTCAACGACGAGACCGGCAGGTCTTCTTAACCTATTGCGCCGCCATCTGCCCCATTTCAGCAAATCGTAATGGATTTACTTGGACCGTTCCCGCCATCGACGCAAAAAAGCCGATGGGCGACGCAACCGATTATCTCACACGGTACGCCGAGACGAGAGCCCTTCCATTAGGTACGGCTGTTGAACTCGCCAAGTTTTTCATCGAGTCAATCGTCCTCCGGTACGCCGCCCCGAAGTCCCATACTTGCAGACCGTGGATCATTGTTCATGGCCCAGCTGACGCAAGTGCACCAGCCACCGTCGAACCACTGCGCACCATCCGCAGACAAATGCACTAACAGAATGGCTGAACAAAACTATCGCCGACATGATCTCCATGTATTTCAACGTAGAGCACAAGACGTGGGACGAGGTGTTACCCTACATCACGTTTGCCTCCAACACGGCTGTGCAAGAGACCACAGGAGTCACACCATTCCAGCCGGTCCATGGTCGCAAACTAGCGACGATGCTGGACGCAACGCTGTCCCACAAACCTGATGGCGACGACAGCGGTGAAACCCAGATCATCACTCAACGAGCCAAGGAAGTCCGACGCTTGTCAGGCTCCGATTACAAGACCAACGACGCGTCAACGCCCAACGTCGTGGGGACGTTCACCTTCAACCTGCAGGGTTTAGGTGTAGACACCCATTTGCCGCCGCGGTCTCAGTGAGAAGCTGTTAAATACGAGGGGATGCCCGACTGAACACGGACTTCACACTGCCATCCACGACCGGAAGTCGTCAACGTCGTGTGGCTCAAGCGGAACTACGCTCCATAGTACTGTGAACTGTCTTTCCGTATACCATACGCTCGACGGGACCGTTTTCGTTTTGTCTATTTTTCGGTTTTGTTTCCTGGCACGTTGCATCCGGGCGATGCACTTTTAAAGGGGGGAGTAATGCCGCGTGCTCAGCTAGCGAAGTCGGCGGCCCGCTTGGCTCCGACGCAAACGGTCCGAGGTTCGATACCTTGTAGCGGACGCACTTTCTTGTTATTTTTATAAATGTCGCGTTATGGTAAATTGAAGAACCCTGTTGCTGGTTCGAGGTCCGAATGTTCTACGCGCCGAACCTTCTACCCCGATTGTTCCAGATGCCCACGGGTGTACAAAAGGGGCTCCGCATGGCGAGCCGGAGTCAGTCTCGCCTCAGCGCTTGATCCTGCTCTTACGCCGCCATCGACGCTTGCGCCGCTAGCCTTTTTCTATTTTGTCTTGAGCACAAGTTTGCCCCATTAAACGTTTAGTTGGTTTCAGTTTTTGTCGCCTCATCAATTGTCATTCGTGACAATATTTGCTTATTTTAATTTTTTCAGATGGGTGGGCGTTCTATCGAGATTTTGGCTAAACAAGAGTAGAAGAAATGGAATCAAAAACAAAGTTACGCGGTGGACAACTACCTATCTCAAGCTTTAAACATCACGAAGAATGGGTTAAAATTTAGACTAAAAGCGGACGCATTCGAAAAGAAAAAAGGCGAGAAACAATAGTTGATTAACGTAGAAGTTTAGGCTAGTTGGTATGTAGACATAATTAAGAACAGAACACCGCAAAGACGAGGACAAAGTAAAAGGTAACCGGCAGGACGCAGCGCTGTCGGTTACCAAGAAACACTAGCGAGATAATGTAAAATAAAACGAAAATCATCAGAACTCGATTCAACTCGAACTCCACATCAACTCACACGTCCTAACGTCAATCCATTACTGTGACGTCAGCTGCAAAACGGCGCATGCGCAGATGGTTCGCTTTGCGAAAAGGGCTCCTATCGAAGCGTGCTCGTTGAATTTGTGTATAGTTTCGAGCGGCTTAAAAAAAAGTAATCCAAGCAAAGTGTAACACCAGTGTGATGCCGAATAGGGCTACTCCCAATGGAACTCCAAATCCAAAAATATATCCCAGGACTCATACGCGCAAAAAGCACACCGCAAATCGAGGACTGCTTTTGAAAGCTCAACTTATCGATCGCACGCGGATCCCGAAGACAGTATCAGTTTTCGGTTAAGCCACAATGTCAACATCGAACCGCAGCTTGACAAAAAAAAAATCCTAAAGCACGGCTTTGCGCGTGGGAGGACACCAATCCGCTTTTTGGGAGAATCGATTCGAAAAGTGCCGGCTGCACCTGCGGTGACCCCCCCCCCCCCCCCCCCCCCCTCCCCGCCCCCCTCACCCTACGCGTCGCCAGGGCCTGGGTACGCTCTGTTCAGCCCTAAGATGACAGTGCTGTGAATGCTACGTGTTCATTGAACCAACCAACCGCCTTTCTTTCATCACCTGACAACGCTCTCTTCATGTGGGAACGCGCCAAAGTCGGATTGATGGTGTGTGGCTAGGGAGGGTTTGCAGAGAGATTTCACGTTACAGACAGATGTGATGTCACAAGCGAAAAGTTGCAAAGATCTATGTTGTCGTTCTTAAAGTGCCATTTCACCAAAACCTAAACCTTATGTTGCCCCTGGGAGCACTAGTGAAAACCGTCACCCCTCTCCCCCCCCCCCCCCCCCCCCCCCTCCCTCTTAAAGTCGGCCCTGGTAATGGCGGAAGGATATCACGTGTGCGAACGATAAACGTATGTCTGGTTCAACGAGCACGTAGCTTCCACCGCACTGTCAGCGTAAGGGTAAGTGGGAGTGTAGAGTGCGGACATCTGTGTCGCTCCCTTGCGCAATGTGAGCGCCTTGCTCCGGTCACGTATGCGGAGGAGTCACGTACATGGTAGAGGTTGGACGTGATCGTTTTCGCACCACCTGGCGTTTGTCTCCGCTTTTGGTAAAGGATGAAAAAGCAGCTGCCTTCCCGAAGTCGTGATCGGATCGGTGAGATTTCGGGAGAGACCGTAGTTTTGTGCTTTGTTGACAAGCCTGCTGCCGCTAGAAGCGTTAACGCTTCTCGCGGCAGCTTCGTGTAACATGTAACACTTGTTACACGAAACACTTCAGCGTCCCTCCAAGAAGAAACGCCGGGCTGTACAATTGTACAGCCCGGCGTTTGGGACACTGAAGTGTTTCGTGTAACATGGGCAGAGAGTCCACCAAATATTTCAGCCGTGTTAAACGAGTCTCAAAAATTGACGCCTCCACTTAAAAAGCTATAACCTTCACAAATTGTATCTGTTTTAAGGCGGTGGATTTTACCATGGTGAAATTTCAAAGGGTACTCCCTTCCCGTGAAATATGAGGTCAACAAACTTGGCAGGATCAACGGCGGACGTGTTCTTGATCCAGAAATTTCCCCCGCTCACCCTGCCAACCGCCCGTCTTATTTATCTATGATGAGTGTGAAGATTAAGTAAAACGTTATTTAGCAGGAAAAAAATCATGATTCTCACAAGAGTGTAAAAATGCTGCGCATTTGGAAAGGCCATGAAACTAAAAGAAGTACTTGTAGTGTTAACTATGATTAAACCATGGAAACCTGGAGATTTTTAAGTTTCCTTCCCAGTTTCAAGGTTTAAACATGATTAATACGCACCAGCACGCCGGTACCTTGATCGGTCTTTTTTTCCCTTCGTTGTTATAACTTTAAAAGTAGAAACCGAGGAACATCTAAAAAGGGGGAACGAACACGCGGTCTCAAAGCCCAATATGTATTTGTCCCGTTTCTGTTCCTCAGTTTTAGGCCATTTATTACATTACATATTTCATTAAAAAAGTCAAAATTTGGGACCGTTTAATTACTGTTTTCATTACCGAAGTGCAGGTGTAACTTTAGCCCATATTCGACTACATGGCGCGAAGCTCTGTAGAAGGAATTTGGATATTCTTACAAAGAAACGTGAGATCCACTGCGCATACTCGCGCATTCTATGTTTCTAGCACGCTCCGAACGCCTTCGGTATCATATTTCACGAAGACTGTATTGTCGCGAAATGCTACTCATTTATATAGAGTAGCGATACTTTTTATGTCGACGAAATCCGACGAAAGCCTGGTTCTGTACTGTGAATCTGAAGCCGGCACATTTCACCCGCGCGCGAGCAGACCCAGCTATAGGGGTCGCTTCATCCGGTTTGTTTTGCACAAAACTCAATGCTTGCGCAATACAGGGCAGGTGGGGTATGACAAGTCAATCGAGTCATCATGGACACGAATGTGACGTCATTGTTCGGCCGAGACTCGTGTTCCACTCGTCGAACACGAATCCCAGCTGACAGGAACGCAAACAAGTAATTCGTGTTGTTGCTGTCCCGGTTGGTGTAGTTCTCAAGTTAGCCGCTAGGGGCGGGACGATTGAGTCTTCTAGGTGGCGCGGGCTGCCGCCCAATTAAAGGGGCTCAGCCGTCTTCATCCATCTATCCTCGCCGATAGTCACTGACGGCCTAAGCTAAGATACGTAGGGGGACTCTCGGGCGTCTCATTAGCGCTCCGCGGCCAAGGGGACGGCGGCATCAGCCGCTAAGAACGCCGAAGAGCGAAGCAAGAAGCCTCAGCGTTTATTCAGCCACGACCGACCTTTCTTAAGGTGCCGCTGACTACAGAACCAAGCTTAACGAAGACAATTAATCACCGAGGAAACAACCTCAAAAAGTCTATAGAAATGAAA